AAGAATATCCCAGACCATTAATTTTGCATTAAAGAATGTACGATATTTTTGTATGTTTTCATTTTATTATCAAACAACAATATGTAAAGTAAACATCATTTGAATGGAATTTCTATTCTAAATTCGAGTTCACTAATTACAGGTGCGTTTCGGCAATTTAATCTTCGGCGCGTTAATGACGTGCGAAATTTCTCCAACCGAGGCCATTTAAATTGCAATTACGCAACGGCAATAAAATACGTACGAATGCATCCCCAGAGGTGATTCACGAAAGTGCGACCGGATTCATATGGGAATATTCCATGTGTTTGCATGTTTTCGGTCTGCATCGACATGCTTTTTTTTTCAATACATACTCTATATGCTTATACTCGGAAATGCGCCATGCAATTTAAATATACTAGTTGTTATTGTTTTCGTTATTTAACATATTTGGATAAATGTTGTTATTGACATATTTAACTTTGTTTTAATAAAATAAAAAAATAAATGTTATAAACTATAATGAAAGTTTAGCAATTTGTAATATCCACGTTACTTATACAGTGGAACCTCGCATAAAGAGCATTTCGCTTAACGAGCAAAATGATTTTTTAAGAAAAACGAGTAAAAATCCGGAAATTTTGGAACGGATTAAATTCGTTAAGCGAGGTTCCACTCTATACATGTTTTCTCTAGATTTAGAATAGAACCTATTTTTACATAATTCTATACTACGAATTTTCGAAAAAAAATATAAATCTGGGAAAAGAAAACAAAAAAAATAACTACACTCACGGCTTGTTACTAAATTGGAAATCTTACAGCCTTACATATTACAAAGCCTGGTTAATTTTCTTACAACTTACGGTACTCGATTTCGACGGTTTAAAAGAAATAAATTAAAAAATAAATGTTGAAAATAACCTATCCTACACGGTATTTTACTTATGAACCTATCTACTTTCATAACCCAGGAAAATGCCTCAAAATAAACTAAATTTATGTATATAATTTCTTGATTAGTTCGGATTTTGTTTTTAAATATTTTCAACCGTACTGAATCCGGACTGTTCGAAGCAGCTATTACAATTGGGTCCTTTTGTCTGTATTTTGTAATTTGTTTAATTAAATAAATTAATAGTTAGCTTATTATCTTATTTATGATTTTTCTAATATTGTTTTTTAAGTTTAAATTATTAGATATTACGTAATATTATCACTGTATATGTTCACTAAAGTATGAAAACACGTGTAATCTATCATTGCTTCCAATTTGAATAGATTTTACTAAAATTGTACATAAAATAATTCTAGTATTTTCATATTATTTGTGTATTTATAATATAAAATATGATTCAGTCGTAATTCCTTATTTTTCTTTTCATGTTTTTTTTTAGGTTGGAAAACAGTTGGTACAGGAGATTTATTACTATATAATTACAACACGTTTCATCTATTTTTTATATATTTATTTGGTCGTAAAACAAATCAAATACATTATTTTTGAATACTTCGAGTTGATGAAAGTACATTTTTCGTTTCGAGGTTTGACGTGATCATTCTGACGCTCAAAGCAAGAAACACGTAAAAAAGGAAACTTTTTTGCTTTGTTGTTTTCGGTTGAATTGCTTTCATAACGATGGACATGGCAATTCCGAATTGGCACGCAAATATCATCCAACCCAAAGTCATTATTACATTCATAACGGTTTTTATATATTTTTTTTTATACCGTCTCCAAAAAAAATCGTCCTTCACCCAACGTAATTTCTACAAACAGCATTGTAACATTCAGCAGTTGCTTAATACGCAACAACAAAAACAATAATACTACTCGACATATGTACGAGAGGGGAAGACCAACAAAATAAAATTGCAGAAGAAAAAAAACAACAACTGGATGGAACGAGTAAGAGCGACGTACGTGAGACAGTAACAAAAGCTGTACAAGCTGATTGAATGAACCCACACTATTATAGTGATAATTCTTCATTGTAGGAATTCGTTCACAAAGGGTTGGTCCGATCTTTTGTTACACTTTTTTTAATTTTTTTTTGTTTCGCCATTGTACTTTGCTACGATGTTAAAAAGCATTTTAATTTTAATTGCTCCACTCTCTGCAGAAATAGTGCAACAATTTTTTTGCCACTCGCAGGAAACTTGCATTGATAATATTTCTGCGATTATTCGTGGTCATTCAACTGTCATCCGCAATCAGAATATAACGATTATTGCTACGTTGAATGGGGATAAAAAAGCATAGATTTGAAATTATAGACATTTTATATATAAATATAAAAAACTTCTCAATATGGATAAAATTATTCATATAGATACTAATCAATACAACGAGTTTTTTTTTTTACAGAAAAAAAGTAAACCTGTTTATATAATAAATATTATATTCTATCAGTTGAAGACATTATAAAATAAAACACAGTGGAAGTTGTTTGTTAAAATAAATCTGTATAAGAATTATTGTAAAATGGTAAAATCCATTCTCTAAATATTTATATCAAGTTCATGCATTTTGTATTTTGTATTTTATACAAAACTAAATTTTATTTATACAGCATTGCACAACTTGCACTACATAGTGCAAGTCAAACGTGGAATAATTTAAGTAATATTTTATATGTTACAATACAGCAATAAGATAACAAATCTTTATATTAGATAAATTTTATTACAAATGAAAATGATGAAACATTTATACATTCGATAAGAAAGTAATAAAAATTGACGAAAACCAATCATCATATTGAAATGAATAATAGTTCATTTTGAGAAATATTTTTTGAAAAATGGTAATTTAATGAGTACTTACAAATACAATTTCACAAATGCATTCGAGAACAAATGTTCTATTTTATAAAATGACTTTTTTAAATTTCCATCAATATCATGAATCATACAATAGTCAAATCATATTATTTTACCCAGATTATAACATTTTGGCTGTTTTGTGAAATTTATGAGATTAATTTTATACAATTATTTAACTTTTCTGACAATCATACATTAATCACGTTGTTTCTATAATAATGCAAACATTTCACTGTTTTTATCTATTTTAAGACAGCATTTTTCAATCAGTTTGAAACCAAATTACACAAAAGAGACTTGACACTGATAATTTAAGTATATAAAAAAAAATTGTGTACTATTTTTTAGAATTTATCTCTAATTTGCTCTATTACAATTTGATTTGTCTTGAAATTTTTAAACCATACTATACACAAGTATATAGTAAAGAGGACTATGAGAGGTAGTGATATATTATAGAAAATATCTTCGTATTATTATTTGAATATATATAGTAATTGGTTGGCAAGAAAGTAATTTGAGTTTTCACAAATAGAATGATAATATAATATTTGTTTTGAAGGACTTCTGACAATTTTTTCCTTTCGTTATTTGAAAGATGTCACTTTTAGATTTCTTTGAAAGACAATTGCGCGTAATTTTGTTTGCAGCTGTTATTATATATTCGACATATTTTACTTATAATATTTTCGACATATTTTACTTTAGTAAAGACAAGAAACTTGACAAGGCCTATAAAAAGATATGTTAAATTTATGATGTTGATTGTTTAAACAGATTCTTCATTCCAAGAGATAATCAACGTTCTTTCTGGTCGACATACTGAAGTTTATGATGACCAAATCAAATTCATAATCGATATTCGCATGAATTGAAAAATACTCACTTAACACAACGAATCAATATTTGCAATATCCATCTCAAACGCAATAAAATCGTGACTTTTTGTAAACGAAACATTACCGGTGATGAAAAATGGATCGGTGATGATACAATAAGATCAATAGAAAACGATCTTGATCCAAGCGTGATGAACCAGCACAAACCACTTCGGAAGCTGAATTACATCAAAAAAGGCTTTTTGGTGGTATTAGAAAGGACTTGTGTATTGAGCTGCATCGAAGGAATAAAACGATCAATTCAGATATTTACTCTCAACAAATGGAACTGGAGTAAGAAATCAAAGAAAAATTGGTAACTCGTGGAAAATTTTTGGAACTTGGCAGATTACCATATATTTCTAAACTCTTTGAATATGACCTGAAATCGCACTTTGCTCAGTTTTTTGTTGAAGAGGACCAAAAGTTCTATGAACTAGGAATCATGAAGTTGCCAGAAAGATGGCAAAAGGTCATCGGACAAAATGGAAAATATATAATTGATTGAAGTTCATTCTTTTATGCAAAAAGAGTTTTAGTTCACACTAAAAAACTGATATTACTTTATTATTGGTTAAAGTTAATAATGTTACACGACATCTATACACTCGGTTATATATCTTTTCTTTTTTGCAATTTTGACAAATAATACAAGGAATTTTTCATGAAAAAGAAATAAATTATGCTTACGACATAAAATGCATTTCAACATTTCTATCGTCAACGTCGTGAGAATATAGTGTCTAGTTCCGAAATATTCTAAATTGTAATTTGATAAGTTCTGAAGTTGTCGTGTATCGAGATTCCGCTGTAATGGTATTGCTAACTTGTGAACAAGAATTATAACCTCAGGATTACTCTCATTTTTTTTTTTCAGAAAGAGATAAGATACTTCCAATTTAGATAAGTATAATAAATTTGAGGTGAGTTTTATTGTCAGAAAATAAATAACACACACATACAAATATATGACTTTGGTGTATTTCCTGATCATTTTTTTTTTAATTGAATAACAAAAGACTTTAATAACGATATCTAGATAATTTTGTATAAATATTTTATGAATTATTTACATAAAGTAAATAAATAAAGTCACGTGCTGGATTCACTTGTTGGTTGTTATGAAAAGTAACAACTGAATCGCGACTAAATAAATTTTTGTAAACAATATATGCGTCATTGTCGTAAATCGAAATGCAAACTGTATACATTTCAAACCGTTCTTATCGGAGTGACGGGCAACATATTAATAATAATACCATAGCAAATACTGTTCAGAAGTAAAACTGTTCAAATCTGCCGTGTACATATTCAGTTCAAGGCGCGTCTACCATCAATTATTCATGAGATTAGTATTGAGTCTGTGCCATGTGGTGTGGTGGTATTCTATAGCTAGAGTGCAGCTAGTCGTTGATGTGGTACCTGTCGTGCGACAACAACAATGAAGCGAACGTAACGAACGAAAAAAGAAAACGGCGCGAAATAAAACAACAAACTAAAAAAAACAAGATAATTACTATTGTGTAACAGGATAAACAACAAAGATGCGAGAAACTGTTTGTAGTGAGTGTAACCAGAGGTTACCAACGGATGTAGCTAGAGGTGCGGATGGATGTAGCAGCTCAATACCGTACTGGGATCAGGAAAGCCTTCAGGCTAAGAATCCGGCTTTCGGAAAGTTGCAGGAACTCGATGGACCCAGTTCGGAATCCGGCGATTGCAGTGATGTTGTCATACAGACGACAAACGACGGTGACGTGAATTTAAATCAGGCTGGTCACGGCGGTGAAAGTGACGATGGACCAACGTTTCCCATATACTTTAAGAAGAACTCGAAGAGGTACGAGGCTTCGAATAAAGGCGAAAGGTAAATAAATTCAATAGCGTTCGCTCGGAGCGATGAACAGCATAAACAACGTTTCGAATTACGCAATTTTTAATAGCATTCAAACTTGCTACTCAATTTACATATGATACATGTAATACAAACAAAATTATAAAAATATTCTAAGTAAAAGTAATAATAGTTTTTAATTTAATAATAAAATAATATTTAAATAATATAAAAAAATACAAACAAATAAAATTGTTTCAATTTTATTATAAATAAAATAATTAATTTATAAATCCATGGACGTTTTCAAATTTAATTAGATAGTGATTAATGTATTTATATATAAATTCACATGTTACAACATTCATGATTGTTTTCAATTTGATTGCATAATGTTTAATTAATTTATTGGTTGGGAACAAACGGTTGTGGTATACTTTCAGTGCAGTGACATTAAGTCCATGAATGTTTTCTGTTCTTCTATTTTACTCATTCAACGGTTTTAAAATTTGCTGATAAAACTGTATCATTATAATTTGTTACGCAAGCGTTATTATCGCAATAAGCGCACGTCTCTCGCACAGTCTGTTTGTTCCTTAGAAAATAAACGTGTTTTGTACAGATTAATAAAAGAAACTGTAAGAAAAATATCGTTAAGAAGTATATATAATTATTATTTAAATAGATAAAAATAGTGGAGACTAACATATAAGTTTAATTTATAATTACAAATTCGATGAATCAGAAAATATTCAAAATAATTTGCAATTTCCATCAGTAAAAAAAAATGAATACTATTTGTTAAACAATAATTTTACAAATAATTCGACATATATATAGTTTGTCCGTGCGAACTAAAATGTATTTGAAGAAAATGCATATTATTTTCTAAATAATAGTACCTAAATTATTTCAGAAAAATTTGTATTTGTAGTTGTATTATGAACGAAATAAAAAATATTTAGTTACACATTTCACACGCTTTTCTTGAATAAAATATAAATAAAATATATAAATGAAAATCAGATAGAAAATAATTTATAGGAATAATTTATAATATAACTTTCTTATCAACTATGAGCGTTTATTTAAATACTAATTTAATACTTGACTGATTTATAAATAACTACGGTATTTAATATATAAGGTTTAAAATAAAACTAATAAATGGTAACATGCAACATTTCTATTGAGAAAGGTAATTATGTTGAAAAATATAAATGTATATGCAAGAAAGCGGTGACATGCAAATACTTAATATTCAATTATTACGTCGACTACATGAGCTTGCATAAATACGTATATATGGAATTCATTTAGTAGTAATTGCATTTCTTAAAGTTATCTTATCTTCGCTAATAATTTAAGTAATTTAAGAAATTTATTTATTTGATTTGTGCTATGACATTTAATATTTTAATTATTATTAGTATTTATTGAATGTAATATATAATGCAACATAATTTGATCTCCAAACTAACAATAAAAATAATTATCATTGGAATAAAACTAAATTGTTAACTTATGAGTCTCGTCCAAATTAGGTCGCGTTAATTTATAAATGGGTCGCAAAATGACAGTACAAATGCAATACAACTACAAATAAAAAGGTTGAGCTAAACATGTTATACAGAAATGTTAAATTTTTTGGCTAAATCTATCAGAAGTATTTATACAAGTTTCTAAAAACAAAAGTTCATGTATCTGTTGCTGTGTAAATACACCATTAAAATACTTATGGTTAATTTTATGAATTCTACCTAGTATTATAACTTACGAATGTAACATTGCGTATGTCTTTTGTATAAATACTTGGATAGGTGACAATTCTAATTTCATAGTACAGGTAAACGAGAGTAATACCTTTCGAAATAAAACAAGTAAACGTAACAAAATCGAAATCCCAACAACCATAATCCCGATAGAATCAAAATCCTGGCAACCATAATAACGACACTCTCAAAATCCCGACTGTATCAAAATCCTGATAGTATCAAAATCCCGACTATATCAAAATACCGACTCGAGACTTTCTTAAAGTGGTCCTCGGAAACCCGACACTCCACCCCCGTCATCAATTATTGTAACTGTTGTTTTTCTCTATTTTGAATGAGGAGGGAGGCTGGATAGAGGTTTCTCAAATAAAAAAATAATAATTTTGAAACATTTACTTTCATTATTATTGAATAATTTATATTTATATTGCTACAGGTTGATGACCTGCTTTATTACAAATATTAATAGTAATTGTGCGTCAGCCGAGTATAATACAATGGGGATTCCTAAAGATATGTAATGGGATAATTGGCTTTCGCAATCGCAGTATTGTGCACTTTAATCTGAGAGAAAGGGAAAAGGAGATGTACCTTCTTTTATACTAGGAAGTGGTTCATTAGAGACAAGAGAAACACATTGTGTGTCAACAGAACAAAAGCGTTTAAATAGTCTGTCTTGTCTTATTTGCGGCGATGAAGGGCAGTAAGAATAATGGGGCCGGCCAGTCGGCCGTTTCCCCTCACTCCCGTCGGTTTGTTGCATTTCCCTCTCGTTCTATCTCCGCATCTTCCTATTCTCGATGCTAACATTCCTCTCTCTCTTTCTCTCTCTTCATCACCTCAGGAGAGTCGTGCACGTCAGCCATCATGAATACGTAATCCGCATCAAGTTTCCTAATTAGTCTCGCGTCCGAATTAGCCAGTCACAACTTCCCGGATCCCCCGGTCTGGAAAGCACATACATATACAACGTTGTCTGTCCTACATCCATGAAGACATGGAACATTTCCCGGAATCATCGAGGCCATCCTCGAGAGGCCGAAAGGTCTCAACACTCGAACCCTTCCGGACCTGAGAGAGGCCAGGCACAGGACTAATTCAATTTTCTCATACGGCCATGCATGCATTTCTATACATTCATTATTTACGAACGTCCGAAAACTATTTTACATAATAATCGCATTCGATCGAATATCCACCCCATCAAGCTATTTACGTATAACTCAATAAGAGTAGATTCCAATTAGAATTCGGTAAAATTAATTAAAACCATTAACTAAATCTTAGAATATTGAAACATTGTATTTGGTCATATAATTTATAGATTTGTTTGATACTAATTTTTTATAGAACGATTATATTCAAATTTCAGATTTGGAATATTTCAAAAACAAAGTTTAATGTACAAATTTGAGATTACACGTAATCATTTTGCTAAATTGATAAGTCAATAAATTACAATGAAGGAAACAGTTGGCGTTTATTTAAAAAATTAAATTTATGAAAGTGCTAATATAAATATACACATTTTATTTTTAATTTTGTTATGTAATCATAACTATGTTTTTGTTTGTTTGTTTATGTTTGACTGTTGCAATAAATAAAATAATTGAGATAAACTTCAATATGCAAGATTATGTTGTAAATAATATAATAATCAATAACTCAATATTTTTAATTATGATAAATAAAAATTAATGTAGGGATAGTAAATTATAAACTTAAATATTTTGAAAAACAATTAACATCTTAATGTTTGAATTTCGAATTCTGTCTAAATTACTTTGTTTATTAATATGTCAATACAGCGGACGAAACTGTAGATGTTTGTTAATAAAATTAAATTTACTAATACGCTAATATGTCTTCAAAATACTGTAGCTGGCAGTAACTCAATGTACAAGATAATTGGTATGTAATTCAGTGATTCTCAAACTTTTTTCATTAGCGTAATTGTATTTTATATTATTTTTTTAATTAATTAAGACATTGACAGCTTAAGTCATTAGCCTTTAGCAACAGGTAAATAATAATACTCAAAATCAGAAAAAAAAACAATTAAAATACAAATGGACATAAATACATAGAGCTCAGACCAAATAAGTTAACAAGTAAGTTGAATTAAATAAATGACTTGGATCAATTAAATAAAAATTGACAGAGTGGATAGTATGAGTATTAAAATTATCAAAGCACACAAAAGAATAAATAGATAAACAGGTATCCATCGTCACTCAATTATAATCGCTGTCCCAAATCGTTTAAAAATGAAATGACATTTCTTATTGTTAAGGTTTGTTATAGGTCTATAAAATAATAAAAGATATTATCGGAATTTTGATATTGTCGACATTTGATTTCTATATAGACTCGTTAATTTTACATACATATACTAATAACTGGTAACACATATATTATTTTTTTCCATCATAATAAATAATTCTGTACATCGCTAATGTAATTTATATGTACATTTTTATAATTTGATATAAATCGATCAAATTAATGTTTTTAATTACAAACAACAGTCGATGCGATTGATTGGTAACGTGTTTTAACCGCGTTATGAGAGTACCGCGTTATACAAGAGTTTTCGAAATTTTGGAATTATGTCAATTATTAATAATAATTTGATAATAATATTTGATAATTATTATAAATTAACATTATAAATATATTAATTATGCTTAACCGTAAATAAATATTGTGTTTTTTTCTGAATTTAATTTATTAGAGAAATGACGATATTTTTATGTAAATTTCATAAAAATATTGCGTTATGCGAATATAATATGACAATAATGATTTCATGATTATGATCCAATATAATAAAAAAAAGTAAGAAAGTCTGATTGGAAAACTTATACAGTACACATATAAAGTATGTACTACATCTAAATACATGTTTCAAAAACAACGTATTTGAGTTTTATTTATAATAACATCCTGTGTTTTGGTAAAATCACTGGACGAAATCATCGCACAACTGTATACATATCAAAGGAAATTATTCTCATACCTGCACAAATCGCAAAATCCGAACAACAAACAGCGAACATAAATATATACAAAAAAAGAAAACAAATCGGAAAAGCTATCAAGGATAACGCAAAATTTAAAAAACACAGAGAAAAAACCTGTCAGCTTCTATAAATAACAAAACAGTGAAATAAAAACGACCCTCTGCGATTGACACCTAGACAAATAACAACTTTTGCAATCGTGCTTTTGCAAGTTTTCCCATGAAAATTTGAGGCCTGTGTTTGTTCCTGTTTTCTATTTTTTTTGTAAGCTTTTGAATTGGCTACATACTTCCTCATCAAATCCATCCATACGCGGTGGGATGTTTGCTATTAGTATTTTTAGCGACATCGTGGATTATGCATGCATTCCGGAGACTAATTTATTAATAAATTGCTCGGACGCCGTTTTGTATATTAAAGTGGCGATTATGGACGTGAATAATATCTGCGGTTCGCCGATTAGAGCCGTTTCCGTGCTTGGAATTGCCGATTAACATCGCCAGACATGTTTCGCTAAAGAAATCGTGCAATAACGGATGGAAACTTCCACAGATTTATGGATCGAGACAAATTGATGTACAATCATATATATACTTAAAACTATAAAGATAGATTATTCTTACATAAGTATTTATTTTTAGCTTTTCATGTTGTTTTCTTCTATTGTATTATGTATAAAATAATATTTCCTTGACGTGAAGGATGCTTTTTTTTTCCTGTTTTTTTTTTCTTCTAATTATTACTATTAAAAATGTTCATTAGTCACAAACCATCGAAGTCTTACTGTCCTATCTTTTTCTAATTTGATACACATGATTAATAATAAAAAATGTTTTCAGACGTCCTCATGGTAACTCAAAGCGCATAGTAAGACGACTGATCAAGAAGAACGGCAATATAAATGTCATCCGCAGCAATTTTTCGATATTCCGAGATCGCTACATCAGGGATTTGGGCCACACTCTGGTCAATTCTAGTTGGATTTGGACCATCTTCTGTCTGACGGCATGCTTCATGCTAAGTTGGACGCTCTTCGCTACAGGCTGGATGATAATAGGCATAGCAAATGATGATACAAATAGCACGTCACCTTGCATGGAAGGAATCAGCGGCTTTGCAGGCTACATGATGTTTAGTATCGAAACTCAACAGACAATAGGCTACGGTTCAAGATATATCACAAACAACTGTCCCGAGGGAACCTTCATGATCAGTTTGCAGATGATCTTGAGCGGAGTGTTTTGCGGTGGAATGGTGTGCATAGTCAACGCGAAGATGGTCCGACCGCTTCAACAGTTCTCCAAGAACCTCTTCAGCAAAAGAGCGGTGGTAAGATGCGTTCACTGAATACCGATTTCGGTTATTTATATTAAATGGAAAATGCAGATCAACATGAGGGATGGCGAATTATACTTCATATTCCGATTGCGTGATGAGAACAGGAGATTTGCAGTTGGGACAGCTATAAACGTGTATTTAGTACAGAGCAGAGTTGAGGAACCGTTCCTGGAGTCCATGCAATTGGAACCCCTCGGTATACTCATTTGGCCTTTGGAGGTTGTCCATAAAATCACTCCAACAAGTCCGTTCTGGGATTTATCTGCAAAAGAGTTAATCACTAAAAGGTTAATATTACAAAAAAAAAATACATTTGCAATCGATTCCTAAACAAATTCAGTTTATATATTTCAGTTTTGAGGTGATAGTTACCATGACCGGAACTTCAGCGGTTTCAGGGCAATCCTCCAAGACCAGTACATCTTACTTAAGCAGTGAAATCCTGTGGGGCGGAAGATACAAACCTTGCGTTGTCTACGATTTGAACAAAAGCAGTTACATAGTGGATCATTCGCTCTTCAATGCTACAGAGGAAACTTCTATACCTTTGTGCAGTGCGCAAAGATTGAGCGAGGTCATACATGATATAATAACCCCAATGAATAGTCCCGTGGAAGAAAATCGAAAGTTCTTAAACGAATTCGATAAAAATGATTCCGTGCTACCAATTGAAACTGGTAAAATAGCAGGAAGTAGCGGGGTTATATATAGAAATAGTAATAAACCAAAAAGAGAGGAAGAAAGTCGACTCAATTTCACTGAAAATTCGCAGAGAATTGGAAAGAAAAATGACAGTTTAGATGTCGATGCTTTACTGAAATCACTCGACGATTTCATCAAGGATGTTAACGAATTCTCCAAAGACGATAGTCAGGGCAATAAATAATTTTTATGTTGCTAACATTACTTAATAAGTATTACAATTGTAGTGGTAGTAAAACTAAACTGAGTATTATTTTAGATAGTTTTCAATGCTTTCTCTGAACTTTCTCTGTAGTCAGTACAATTTGTCAATAGTAATATACATAAATTATAAGATATGTTTAGAAATCATTTTCAAAACATAAATGTTGAATGTCTATGTTAACCAATAGTAACACAGTGTTGATGATATATTATATACGTTATATATTTATTAATTAGTAAATAAATATTCAGAAATCATCAAAATACTTTTAGAATTTCCAATAGGATTATACATATATTTCAGGTAATATTAAAAAATTGACATTCAAATCTAGAGTTAAAAAGACACAATAACATGCTTTATTAATTATTAGTTAGTTACTATCAGTCTGATATTATTAATTCAATATTCAGTGAATATTAATTGTTTTTCAGCATTTCTAAGCTTTCGTTATATAGAAATACGATTCATTAGAACAAAGTAATTTAATCAAAAGATTCGTAAACATTATTAATGTTCAAAATTTTCGAATTTTCTTATATTACGAAAATAAAAAATAATACATTGTACATAAAACAATTTTATTAACATATCCTTTTTGATGTAGTGAAGATATTAATATAAATAATGTTAGTTATAAAATTTGTAATAAAATATTATTCATATACACACATACGTTTTTCTGTCAGAAAATAAATTTACAAATGTTTAAATAATAAATGATTTTGATTGTTCATAAAGTAGTTTTATTATGAAGTGTTGTCCACTTTAAGTATTATTAATTAATAATGCATTAAGCTTGAAATTATTTCCAGCGGGAATATGATAAAAATATCTATAATCTGTACGTTACTCAATGCTGATAAACGATTATCAGTTATTCACGAGAAACGCAAGCGGCCGCATCAAATATAAGAGCGTAGACCCACAAACTCTTTCAAAAGAAACGCAATGCAGTTAAGTATAATTAATCTATTTTCTTTAAAATTGAATACATAAGTTTCGCAATTTGCACTTAAAACAATGAATTTAGTTAACGTTACAATCTCAACACGTAGGCGTCAAAATCGAAATCCCAAACGACCCGTGCGTCGTTTAATAAAGAAGAATGGCCATTCGAACGTGATCCGAACAACAATTTCCTCGCTGAGAGATAGATACTGGCGTGATCTAGGCAACACTCTAGTCAATCTGAGCTGGTTATGGACGCTTTTCTGTTTAACTGCCTGTTTCATGCTCAGTTGGACAATGTTTGCTACAGTTTGGATGCTGATAGGAACTTCGAATTCTGATAATTTCGTAAACAACACGACGCCTTGCTTGGTTGGAATCGAGGGATTCACAGGTTACATGATGTTCAGTATAGAAACGCAGCAAACTATTGGTTACGGAGGCCGCTACATCACCAATAATTGCCCCGAAGGAACATTCCTCATAAGTCTGCAGATGATCTTGAGCGGAGCAATTTGCGGTGGCATGGTTTGTATCGTTAATGCAAAACTAGTTAGGCCAATCCAAAGATTTTCCAAGCATTTATTCAGCAAAAAAGCTGTGGTAATATATTATTTACTTACGATTTAATCAAAATATCTTAATGAAATTTGATTGTAGATTAATTTAAGGGATGGTGAATTGTGTCTTATATTCAGAATTAGAGATGATAACATGCGTTACGCCATTGGTACAACAATAAACGCGTATCTTGTGCAAAGTAGAGTTGAGGAACCTTTCCTCAAATCCGTAACTTTGGAACCTTTCGGTTTACTGTTATGGCCTTTGGAGATTGTTCATAAAATCACTCCAAGCAGTCCGTTTTGGGATCTCTCAGCTAAAGAACTTATAACAAAGCAGTAAGTGTTGATGTAAGTGATTAACCATTTGTGATAAGTTTGAATTGTAGATTCGAATTAATCGTGATGATGACTGGCACTTCGGCTATAACAGGTCAAAGTTCGAAGACGCGAGGTTCGTACTTAAGTAAAGAAATATTTTGGGGTAGCAGGTTTAGGCCTTGTGTTTACTACAACTCATTAGAGAACAGCTATTTCGTGGATCACGCGCTTTTCGATGAAATCGAAGAAACTTCGATTCCCTTGTGCAGCGCGCAAAGATTAGGAGAAGTAATAGAAGAAATAATCACACCAAATCCAGAGGATGAGAACAGAGTCATTTTAACGGAATTAGACGTTTACGAAACCTGCTCCCCCAGCTGCAGCAGGGCTAAAGCATCGATAGCTAGTAGTTATGATAGTTTGAACCATTCCAGTTACGAAAATATAACAGAAGAAATGAAGGAGATGAGATTGGGGAAACGAAGGGCCGTGAAAGAAGTGGACAGGATTTTGGAAAGGGTAATTAAGGACGTCAAAGATTTCTCCGACGAAGTGGAGGAGACGAATATGTAAATCGGTCTCAGGATAAAAGTTACGAAGCTTAAGAAGACCGATGTGATGATGATGATTAGTGAGCCGTATAAATCTCGAGGTCTTAGAGGAACAATTAGATGTTGGGGAAAGGGGGATTTGAAATAAGTTTAAAAAAATAGAAAGGAAAGAGAAAGACGTGCTGCAGGAACACCTAATTCTCAGTCCTCCGTTCCATATAAAAGTAATTGTGTATCGTACATCATTTATCTCAACATCCTTCGCTTTTAATGCGGTAATATTTCGTGATTATCTTCGGTCGGGTGAAAAGGTTCTCTCGCGTTTCTCATTCTCTCCCTTGCAACGAGATAAAAAGAGAAAAACTCTACCTAATTGAGTCTAAGTTGTAAGCGCGTCATACTAATAACAATGATAATCGTAAGGGAGGTCATGCCGCAATTGTTTCAAACAAAAGAAGTCAGAAACGTATGGATCCTGAGGATTCCTTCGTAACTGTACCCACCCCACACGATTATAATGACATTCGTGACGATAATAAAATTTTAAATTAGAAATTACCTTTGGCGCGTGCAATTTCCGTTTCAAATTAACTCTTGCCTCATTCATACGAATGCACGTGATGTCTTTGATTAAAACATTTTCGAATCAAATAAATTCCACGAGACCGACCAACTGGCGTTCATCATAGATGAGATGAGATGAGATGGGAGTTACGGAATGAACTGCTCCTGCGGATGGCCTTATCCAAAATTTACTATAGAAGTATACATTATTTCTTTGTACTCCTTGTCTCAACCGAAAATCGGAAATCATATTTCTTTTCTCGACCTGCATTTTTTTTTGTGCATACATCATGAATTCATTCCACTGCACTCCAATCAGAGGAAATATAAGAAATGTCTTAAATACATTCGAATTTAAAATATGCTATACTATAAAATTTTACTTACTAAGTAAGTTATGTGTTTATAATGTAATTATAATGAAAATATATAATTATAGTTAAAATAATTTATTAATAACATTTTTGCATTATTATATGAACTATTATAATAAATATTATTATGTATTCTATTATTAAAGTAATCTATTATCTACAATACTGAATCTACATAGCTAAAAAGTTTACTCGTTATAAGACAAGAGTCGAACGGAAATTAAGTTCGTCTAAAAATTCGTTTCGGTTTTTCAATTGAGCAATTTTATATTCCGGTAATAGTTTCGACTTTGGTTATAAGTTGTCTCTAAATCTGTTGGGTAAGTCTTGCGGTTTTTATCTTTGTTCTTCGACGATGATTTTGTATGCATCAGCTCCATCAAAGTTTTGTTTTTTAATTGATGCTAATTGATTTAATTGGTTTTTGATTGATGCAAAGTATCTTGGCATGCATCTGGATCGTCGACTCACCTGGAAAAAGCATATTACGACAAAAACAGCTGGGACTGACACTAAAAAGATTGCATTGGCTGATGGGTAGAACAAAGTTTTAATATATAAAACGATAATAAAACCGATATGGACTTATGGATTACAGCTATGGTTATCTGCTTGTAATACAAGTATTGACATCATACAGCGGTTCCAGTCAAAAACGCTCAGAGCAATTGCCAATGCTCCCTGGTTCTTGACTAAAGAATACATCCATCAATACACTGGAGTCCGATTTGTGAAGGATGAGATAACGGAACTTAGTAGCAAATACCAACATCGGCTGGAAGACCATCTAAACCAACTTGCTTCTGAACTTACACACACTGAATCTCATCGAAGAAGATTGAAACGATTCAAACCACAGGACCTTCCTAATTGCTTTTAAGTTAGTGTTAGTGCCTAAATGGACAATAATACTTGTTTGCGTGTATGTATTCGTGATTTTTTCTTTAATAAGCACTATGTGGAGTTTGGTCGCTGGATCAATCTCCAATATATATTTTTAATGTTTCTTACAATAAGCCCAGAACTAGAGCATGTTATCTGTTTTTTCTTTTTATTGTATATAGATTGCTTTGTAAATAATAATTAAAAAAAAACAAAAAAAAAATGAGCAATTATACATACCGGCTATAGTTACAGTTCCGGTTAATTTTGGTTACAGTTTTACGTTCCGTCCGGTTCGGTTCGACTTTGGTTATAAGTAATTCAATGTTTGTTCTATTAGCTGTAATTATATGATTCCATGCAATTGGTTAATTATGAGATAAGTCAATAGATTATTGACATAATACTATATAGGTATCAAACAATGATTGTAGATATATCTAATAGATTTAAAGATTTTATTTGTTAGGTTGTCAAAGTGGTATTGAATTATTTTTTACTTATACAAGTAAACGTCGTTTTGCGCTTGTTCGATTTAAGTTTTATCTATTTTATGAATTGGATGGAGAAGGGGAAGCGCTAAATGATTAAATATTTTTAAGGGAGGCGTAGTAACATCAGTTTGAAAACCTCTGCCTTACATAGTGTAATGGGTTCCATATTGTTTAAAATTGAACAAATACAGTCAAGTTCCTTGCCTGATAAGAAAAGAAAATGATTTAAAAAAAAAATTTAGAATTAATTTTTATTTTGTTCAGAGCCGCACTATACGAGGTAATTGCCGTACTTTGGATTTGATTTAATAATAATTAGTTAATATTGATTTTTTTTAATATTTAAATTATAGTAAGTATTTGTGCAACGAGTATATTTTTTTAATTATTACTGCAATGTTAATACTATCAAATAGCAGATTTTCATTTAAAAGCTTAAAAATTAACAAGTTTGAAGTGCTTCTAGTTTACACAACATTAAACTTGTTAATTGAAAACAAGAATTTTAGATGGACGATATTTGAAATGTGCAAATGAGAAACAAACTGAATACGAGATTCGGTTTTAGTCAAGATAATAATATTATAAATACCATACTGCGAAGTTTAATCAAATGAATTAATGCCGAGAGCTCCCTTCGCACGAGAGTCGCGATTCGCTTTTGGCAAACGATTTGAACAATTAAATTTAATGAATACGCCTTTCATTTCCGAAAAGGAATTTTCTTTCGCGTCTCGCCTTTCCTTCTTCAACCCTCCACTCCATCCTTGGGAGCGTACTGTGTTTTGTATAATATAAATTTTGCAAAATAATTAAGTTTAAGGAATTGCAGCCGTTTTTCTTCCTATTAAAGAGTATAACTCTTGAGCATGCAGACCTCGTGCAAAGCAGAAACTACGAACAGCAGCTAGCAGCACCAACCAGTTCTCATTTATCTTTGGCAAATATTTGCTTCTCCCCTATTGTTTATCATTGGGTAATTATCGCAGAGTGCAAGAGGAATTAATTTATCGCCGCAATCTATCAAAATTAAATTTCATTTGTAAATAATCATGTTCACAAATATCATGATCGTAATTAATTTCCATTATAAAAAATAAACTTAGTTTGCAAGTAAATCGCTAGTATTGTTAATTATGAATACTGAAATGCTCCAATTAATGCTGAAAGAAGCTGAAGGTGCTCGAGGCGAGGAAAAACGAACTACGCATAGAAAAAGCAGACTTATTTTTAATCATTTTTAATGATTGTTTCTTTCTTTTCAACTGAATAACGTAATAATTATTATTTTTAATTACTTCCTAAGGACGGCATTTTTTTTTTATTGAGAATAAATATTTTTCTTTAAAAACATTTACTATATTTAAATATTCATTATGTTTTTTGAAATATTTTTATGCGTTTTAATTTAGTTTATTTAATATTAAACATTATTTTTAAATAAAAACAAACAAATGCATTTTATATATTATTAATTACCTTTAAAAAATTTGGTGATTATTTTGAAATTAGCCATATATGGACATGAAAACGCCGCTCCTCTACGTCACAAGGAATCTGCAGCTGCGCACGAGTCAAAAAAAGAGTACTCTATAAGAGAATAATTAAAACTAGGCGTATTTTCAAAATCTCCTTAAAACACGAAGTGTCACGAAGAATCAAGTGCAGTTTCAGTAGTAAAGTTTCAAGTTAGTACATTAATTTTCAAGCGGTGTGTCGCCAATAAAAAGATAAAGGTTGCAAACCAAAATATTGACTTTGATCAATGGCCAAAAAACTATATTCAAACATTTTGGGATATTGACGGATATTTGTGTATATCTTGTAATCTGGTGAAACTTAAGTTATGGAATACAAATGTCACTGTCATTTGTATAGATTGTTCAATATATTTATGTTAATGTTAAAATTATGCAATCAACTAAGTTAACACAATTACTTCAATCTTTACTAGCAGATAGTTGTGTAGTAATATGAAAGTCAAATTGAGGAATGTTTTATTGAACTAAACTAATACTATGAGAAATATCCTAAATATTCTAAAACGCATAAAAAATAATTATTATAGTAAAATTGTTTATTATGTTCCAAAAATAAGTTATATTTTTGTTTAATATGGATTTTATTTAAAAAATAGTAATTGTATGCACTAAGAAATTAGGTAAATGTTGTTTTCCTAGACAACTTATTTATTAAAATATTTCAATCTTGGTGATGTTTTAATTACGTATATTGTATCCATGAGTTTCCTATTTTGTTTTTATCAACTGTGTAAACTAGTACAAACAAAATAATATGTATAAAATGTTGAATACCAACATTTAACTGTTGTGAACTTAACTTATTTAAATTTGTATACAAATATTTATTTCATATTGGATTTTCTTTAGGAAAATTACTTTTTAAAAAGGTTATGCAAATTTCGTGGTATCTTGCATTGATAAATGCAAGTAATTATTGATGAAAACATAATCATTATTTTATAATTATTATAAAAATTTTGAGGAAAATTATTATGAATCAAAACAATTTTATACTTGAAAAGTTTTAAAAATCGATTATGAATCAGTTTAGAAATGATCTTTACATTACTAATTGCATGGCCATCTATACATAATTACGTACAAATATAATGTTATTTACAATTTACTTATTTATAAAAAACTTGATTTATTGACAAATGATTAAAAATAAGTTGAAAACAAATGGTACAACGTTTTTTAGTGATAATACTGCTAAATAATTAACAGAAATTCATTGATGGATATGTTGTTACTGTTGTTGTGGAATTTTTGCGTAAAAAGAAGGATAGTTTGTGATTTTGATCTTCGAATAGAAGATATATGAGGAGTAGTAAAGAAGAGGGGTTGAGCGATGCAAATCGCAAATGCGGCGATCAACATTTCAATCACAACCAGACGTCGCAAACAAATCTCCGCCGCCCCAGACCATTGTTACACCCTTCATTCCCCCCACATACCAAAGACCGCCTCAAAAGCTATTGTCGTCTACCGAAACAGCTCCCGATTTTTCTTCCTGGTCCTACGACCAAGGGTCATGGAGGAGGCATCAGCGATCGAACTGAAGAACTGACAAAAAGCACGTCATTCCATTAACAGTGATCCCATTTGCTACATCGCTGATCTGGGGATAGAAATTCATCCATCCGCCCACGCACTTCCATCACCATCACCGATAGAAACATGCATACGACATCTATCGGGTGTTCTCTCTCTCCCGTCTCATTCTCCCTATTTTGAGCTCCGCCGCGTATGCATATTTACGGCCGATCCCCATAAATTATTTGCGGGAATATAAAGGGAAGATTAGGTATTCCGCAGACTGCGAAACGCGCGTCGCCGTACTCTTTGACTCGATTTGATGATTTATTCAAGGACACCGCGACGAGGACCAAAACAAAATCAAAAGGAGTAAAAAACAGAAATCATATAGTATGATGTGTAGCGTCTTATTTATTTTATCGCATGTCGACAAAATTCAGCTGCGACGGATCAACGATGAAAAAAAATCTGAATAAAAATGGAAAACTTTGTTCTCCGCTTTACGACTCGTTCATTTCATTATCGTCCATCTTTAAGTATTCATAACC